GAGTAAATGATGACAGAATTAAAATTTTTGGGTGAAATGAGTAATGAATTTAAAATAAATTACATTTGGTTTAATTAGAATGATGACAGGGCTATAGACTTTGCACGAGACTTAGCATTTTTCAGTAACCCCTTAATTATTTTCAGATAATTTTGCAGAATCTGCAAATGTGACGAGCAGTGTGCTTGCGTTATGCAGTGCCACCGAATTCACTGTTATCTACTGCATATTAAAGAATCCCGCACCGCTGACTCTACAGCGTTAGATGAAGCTTCCCAGCATGAAATAGAACCTCCCCCTCTTCTCGCATATTCTTGCTGAGAGAAGTTCTGTCCGTTTCTTCCTTACACAACACAAACACACTATTAGCATCTTGACACGTGTGTTCGCTCTGATCCCGTGTCCTAAAGCAATACGACACGGCATTAGGGAAACCCTAAAACCTCATCAAACCACAACCAGATTACCCCAACTATGGAATATGTATGAATATGGATGAGCATTAAACTTCTTTTACGGAAATCCGACCTTCAGGGGGCTTTATTATTCAAGCGCTCTGCACGACGAATCAAAATGACTTTCAACTCTCCCGATGCCCGTAATGGGGCAATTTGCCTAAGTGGTTCGACAGCATTTGAAGAAAGTTCGGCGCTCAGGCTGAATGTGGAAGAAACGGGGGTCTCTCGGGTCATTTGACGTCTTCACGGTGATTAAGGGAGAGAGAGAGAGAGGAGAAAGTGTGCAGTGAAACTTGTTTTCCCAGTCTGACGGCCCGGAGGGAGCCTGCAGCCACAGATTAATGGATGGAATGGGAACTGAAAATAACTCTGCATTTGTAACACATGACTTTTGTCATGTTTGCTGATGATTGGCATTCCGCTTTCTTGTTACCCACCATGCAGCGGAGTAAACACAATTGTAATGGTGTCAAAGCAATTCCGTCGTTTACCTTGACAGGAAAATAAACGTGTTATTCAGAACAGCACCTCAAATGCAGTGAGTCTTAAAAAGAGTTCTGTCATTATTTACACACCCTTGTTTCGTTCCAAACCCATATACTTCAACTTTTTTTTTTTTCCTGTAGAACGTAAAAGTAGAACTTTTTAAAGAAACATCTCTCGACATGCAATGACTTTCAAGCTCCAAAAAAAACAAAAACAAATCACCATTAAAGTAGTTAAATATGGCTTATATGCTGTATTTTAAGTCTTCTGAAATCTTACAATAGTCATTGTTCACCGATAATTTGCATTGCTGCATGTTTTTGCAAGAATCTGTTTCTCACACAAAGCCATCGTATTGCTTTTATAGTGTTTTCGTTGTGTTTTTTTTTTTTACCTTTTCTTCAGCTTTTTTTTAACCATGCTGCTTAATCTTTTCCACTAATGCCTGCAAACGGAATCATGTTGACCCAAATTGCAGATGTGGGTTTGCAGTCTGAACTGAATGTGACAAGATAAAAAGACTATAAAATAATGACAAGAAAACACGTCTTTCTCACAAGCTGCATGCAAAAAATAAATGCAACAAAAAAAGTGTAATTCGATAAACAAACAAATGACTCTTAAGAGTCGATTCATTAGCAAATGACTTTTTTAACCCGTTCTTTTAAGGAATTGTTTAGAAAGACTTAGAAATCCAAAATATAATGATCCATTTTTTAAAATGTTTTTGAAAGAAGTCTCTTATGCTCACCAAGGCTGCATATATTTGATCAGAAATACTATTAATAATATAATGATTTAAATGAACTGTGTTCTATTTTAATATACTTTTAAATGTAATGTATTTCTGTGATGGCGAAGCTGAATTTTCAGCATCATTACTCCGGTCTTCACATGATCCTTCAGAAATCATTCTAATGTGCTGATTTGCTGCTCAGGAATTTCATTAATCATCAATGTTGAAAAAAGGAAACTTTTTTGATGTTCACATGAAAATGTGTGAAAATAAGACATTAAGATTCCTCAGAACTTTCTCCTTTTGTCTTCCACCGAAAAAAACGACGGCATACAGAGTCTACAATAATGTTTACAACTGCTGTGACCATTCATAAATGTAACTTTTATTCCCCCTTTACAGTATAGCAGTCTATTGTTAGTGTCTTGATGCTTTGCGACTGTGTGTCATCGACTAACGATTATGGTCTTGTTATTTCGCCGCAGCACTTGGAGCCGTGGAAGCTATATGCGACCGTTGCAGTTCTTCTGGCTATTGATGTTCTCTCTCTGCTTATCTGGCAGATCGTGGACCCTCTGCACATAACTGTGGAGGTGTGGTGACACTTTACTTTTTTTCTTGTTGTTACTGTGATTTATTTTTTTTTGATGTGTTTCCTCTGAGATGCCTGGGAAATTTCTGCCGAGCAAGCTCATGGAAGTAGGTGTTAATGGTGAAGGATTGTAGTGCAGTGCTCTGCTGCATTGACCTCAATCTCTGTCCTTTAAAGTGCTCTCTCTCGCTCACTCTCTTGTTTTCTCGCTCTAAGCAGAAGTTCACTAAAGAGGCTCCTAAAGAAGATCTGGATGTGTTGATTCAGCCTCTTCTCGAGCACTGCAGTTCAGAGAAGATGAACACGTGGCTTGGTAAGCATCCGGCACTCACTCACCATGTCCAGAGTCTTTTTAGAGCAGTATTTTTAATTAAAAAAAACCTAATCCTGAATATTAAACTTTGTTGTGAAACTCAAGAATATGAATACATCATAATGCTAAAAAATATACGTTTTTTTTTCCCCCTGTGTGCTGTGTTTGACACCCGGGTCTGATTTAATTTTATTTATTTATATATATCTAGGAGTTTAATCATCTATACGGTTGCTTTGCGCTCTGCACTTCACTGATACAAGCTGTCTCTGAAATTTAAATTAATCATTTGTTATATGCTCAAGAGTTTTTTCCAGTTCATTTTGTATTCCTCTCAGCGTTTCACAACTCATTCATTCTCACTATCTCTTTCTCGCACTTTTCCTCTTGCTCTGACTTCCTATCAGAGCACCGCAGTGTAAAATTACATTTTGTGGGTCAGTGCCCAGGTCTGGATATCATAGCCTGACTCTCTCACTCTGTACAGGAAGATAATATTACAGAGAAAAAAAACCTTCCATTTTCATTTCTTTCACAATGTTTTAAATATGAACATACAGACAGGACAGAGATCATCTATTTTCAAAAACATGCCGGGGTCATATGTCACTTTTTTTTAGGGCCAGAAAGATTTTTTCACCAGGTTTCATTACTGTAATATAGATATTTACTGTAATGCACAAGGCTTTTTATATTACTTGAATTGTGAAGTATTCATGGGTAGGTATTTGTTGTGCTGCTTTGAATTTTTATTTTAAAAAGTCTGATAGACTCAACCCAATAGACTCATTCATTTATGACATCACTCAAAAGTATTACAAATGATAAAATACCCATGTTTGCTCTTTTATACACTACCATTCAAAACTTTGGGGTTGGTAAGAATTTTTTAATGTGTTTGAAAGAAGTCTCTCACCAAGTCAGCATTTATTTGATCAAAATAAACAGTAAAAACAGTAATATTGTGAAATATTATTACAATTTAAAATACCTGGTTTCTATTTTAAAATGTAATTTATTCCTGTGATGGAAAAGCTGAATTTTCGGCATCATTACTCCAGTCTTCAGTGTCACATGATCCTTCAGAAATCATCGTAATATGCTGATTTGCTGCTCTTACATTTCTTATTATTATCAACATTGAAAACGGTTGTGCTGCTTAATATTGTTGTGGGATCTGTGATACTTTGAAGATTCTTTGAAGTTCAAAAGAACAGCATTTATTTGAAATTGAAATATTTTGACATTATAAATGGCTTTACTGTCACTTTTGATTAATTGAATGCATCTTTGCTGAATAACAGTATTAATTTCTTTAAAAAAAAAAAAATCTTGCTCTTTTGATCCCAAACGTTGAATGGTAGTATAGATGGTGTTGAATGTGGTATTATATGTGACTCTGGAGCACAAAACCAGTCTTAAGTCTTGGTCACATTTATGCAAATTTTAACAAATCATCCACCTCACTGTTTCACTCCCAAAGAACTGATTCAAACAAATGATTTGTTTAAAATATTTTGGGTTATTCTGCCTACATTTATTTTTTTGTACATTATTGGACTCAAGACCATCACATACATCACGTACAAGTACCACAAAAATAGAAAGCATACAGTTTCCATGTGAGACATTATCTTAAGCCAACCTCAGAGCTTTAAGAGCACTCACTGTACTGTAAGTAATGCTTTCTCCCTTCAGGTGTGGTGTACGGCTACAAGGGACTTCTGCTGCTGCTGGGAATCTTTCTGGCCTACGAGACCAAGTCCATTTCCACAGAGAAGATAAATGACCATAGAGCGGTTGGCATGGCCATCTACAATGTAGCTGTAAGTCTGACTGCTGGCTATTTCTATATTTACAGCACAAAACGTCCTCATAGTGTAGCCTAACCGTAGCTGACAGCTGGGAGAAACACATGAGACTGTTTCGTCAAATATATAATTATATGTATCATATGTATTTTAGGAATACTGTGCCCTTCCAGACAAAACTATTTAACTATTATATCTTCCACAGGAGTTTAGCAGCCACAATATGTGACTCCTTAATAAATATATGACAAAATGTTGAGTTCATTGTGAAACTGCATATAAGCAGTGGCGGAAACCTGCAAAAGTAATATACGCTGTCACCCGGGGCTGTAGCAGTTTCTGGGGTGCTTTTGTGTTGCTCGTCCGTCGTCTTGAAAATGAATTGTGACTCAGCAGGTGACTTTTTCCAAGCAGCTCCCAGTGTTTTACTTGCCGCCCCATCTCACTTTAAATGCTGTCTGTCTGCACTGTAGATTTAGGATAAGCAGTTTGCTCATGAAAAAAAGTCTCTTTACCTGTTAGAAAACAAGAATGAAATCACAAAGTTACTCGAATCACAAAATGTAATGTATGTTTGTTTTTGAAAGAAATTCATATTTCCACAATTATGCATTCTATTAATCAAAAGTGACAGTGAAGACATTTCTAATGTTTTCTACAAAATATTTCTATTTTAAATACATGCTGTTCTTTAAAACTTTCTATTCGTCAAAGAATCCTAAAAATGTATCAGTTTCTGCAAAAATATTAAGCAGCGCAACTGTTTTCAACATAAATAATAATTTTAAAAATGGTTTATTGAGATCATATTAGAATGATTTCTGAAGGATCATGTGACACTGAAGACTGGAGTAATGATGCTGAAGTTTCAGCTGTGCATCACAGGAATAAATTACATTTTAAAATATGTTTAAATAGAAAACAGTTTCTTTAAATTGTAATGATAAATAATAATAATAATAATTAAAAAATCTTAACAGACCCCACATTTCTGGACAATAGCATATACTGGCATAAAGGTTTTACTTTTTTTTTAAGGTTTTTGTTTTCTGACTCCTTCCGGATTTTAACTTGACCTTTATGACTTATTAGTGAAGTTGTTAATATTAATATTAATGTAATATTTTGTATTAGTTAAATTCAAGAGACTTCTTTTATTTGTCTTTTACTTTTAATTTATAGCTGATGATTTATTTTCTTATTCTATTGTGTAGCAAGGTTAAAAAGTATAAATATAAATTATACTATAATATATTTCTATAATATGTTTATACTATTTATTTATTTAAATCAAATTAATGTATTAAAATGATCTATAACCTACAATAAAGACTTACTGTGAAAACAAAATAATAGCCATTGATGTAATGCTAAATTTGAGTGTATGTATTTTTGTCAACAATTATTGTTCGCCTTGTGTTTGATGACCCTTTTTTTTAGCAGTTTTTGAATGAGGTGTTGATTACTAGCGTTTTGTGCTTCACTCTGAACTGCTTGCAAACAGTTTGATTCCGGTAATAACTCCAAGTGCTTCAAAGGATGATTTGCATAATTGCACCCATTTGCTCAAACTCAAGACTAAAACATCCTAATGAGGAAACAAGTAACACTGGTAATGCAAACGCTTTACGTCAGTCCTACAGCTATTTTTTTCATAAGATCAGATCAAGTCCCAGAATGGCACCATGTTCTGCCTTGTGTCAGGAATAACATGCCTGCTTTGATGCTACTTGAGGGTTGTTGGGTTGATCAAAAACAAAGGATTTACTGTCTGTTTTTACAGTGATGCAAGATTCAGAAATGAGCCGGTAAAAATGTCACCAGGGAAAGTACAAATCTGATCTACGTACAGCAGAATTTTTTTTTTTGAGATCTCAAACATAGCGAGCAGTTTACTTTCCATCAGGCGATGTTTTGTGACAGAATAGCTAGTATCGCTCCAGTGCTGTCGAGGTCAGAGAGGAAATAGACTTGTGGTGCTCTGGACGTTGCTTTGACTCTGGACAGTCATGACAGTCGGTGCATTGCTCGCAGTTATCGGTCTGTTAGAGTCATTCTAGGCTGTTGAAGGTAAATACCAGTTATTTTTCCACACTGTTCGCCAGATATGACATCTCCACTCATAGAATAAGATCTTCATGTCTCTGCTGCCTGCTGCAAGTGTTTCAACAAAATTACCTCTTTTTCATCAACAGTTCTCGGTCTCTCACTTTTTGTTTTTGTCTCATGCTCCTTTCCTTTTCTTTTATCTCATCAGTTTCTCTCATTCATGGCACTGTTTCTGCTCTGCAATTTAAGTTTTTCTTACAGTTCATTTACGCCCTCTAGTGGTGATGATAGCTTGGTACACAAAGGCCTTGTTTAGATAGCAAAAAAAAAAATATATATATATATATATATATATTTATATATTTTTTTTCTCACATATCCGACTCTTTTGTCTGAAAGGCAAAACAAACACTTGAAATCTGATTTTACAAACTAGATAAAAACCACATTCGTAAGTGGTTTAAATTTAAATTTTGTATGTGTTAATTTTCTTGTCTTTTCCTTTAATCACCTGCAAAATGATTGACAGACAGTTTTAAAGATATGATTAATTTTGTTATGTGCTTTTTGTCATATTATTATTATTATTTAAATATTACTATTTAGGTTTCATTTATTTTTATTTCAGTTTTTTTTATTTCCAGTTATTAATTTTAGTGCATCAATTTAAACATATTTCAGTTAGTTGCTAGGCACTATTTTTAACTTTAATTTAATTTAATGATTAAAATTTTGAATTGAATTAAATTGAATCACCTGCAAAATGACAGATAGTGAGTCCTAACAATCTGATTTAAAGGGGTCATATGATGCTATTTTAAAGATCATTATTTTGTGTATTTGGTGTAACAGAATATGTTGACATGCTTTAATGTTCAAAAAACACATTATTTTTCAAATACTGTACATTATTGTAGGTCCTCTATGCCCCGCCTCTCTCAAACACGTCGTTTTCTACAAAGCCCCCTCCTTTGACAAGCGCAGTCTGCTCTGATTGGCCAGCTGACCCAGTGCATTGTGACACCACAAGCACGCGTCGGAAATGTAACGCCCCTTACCATAATCGCGAGCTTCAGCTTTCAAAGTAAATATCAAGACAGTTAATAATGTCGTTAGTTTTACCATCAGTTCAAGCCCGAAAGGGCAACAGAGTCGCGTGACAGACACAGTGATGATGCAGTACACAAGCCGCGGTTAAGACAGCTGACGTGCTATGATTTCTGACAGGCAGTTCACTCTCCTGTGATGTGACCCTGTTCCCCTCACACACACACACACACGACGCGTTACTCTGTGCTGCGCAAAACTCCGCATTTGAACAGTCAATAGCAAATACTTAAACTAATAACAAAACATACTTACAGTCGCTGATTCAGAAGCGCCAGATTGTCATAGCAAAGTCGGAATTGGGCGAAACTTAGTGCACAGCCAGCCTTGTACTCTTCTAGGTTAAAAAAACTGTCGTCCATAAAATGCGTTGCACAAATTCGAACATCTGGGTTGTGCTGTTCTGTTGTAAATAAATCTTAACCAATGATTCCTAATTGCATCTACTTCCGGAAGGCCAATTTTTTTTTAGAAATAGCCTTTGCACAGCCAGCCTTGTACTCTTCTATGTTCAAAAAACTGTCGTCCATAAAATGCGTTGCACAAATTCGAACATCTGGGTTGTGCTGTTCTGTTGTAAATAAATCTTAACCAATGATTCCTAATTGCATCTACTTCCGGAAGGCCAAATAAAGTGCTTTTGCTTTCACACAGAAACACAGTGTCTCCCTGACATGCTGCATCAACACTACTACGTTCCTGAAACCACGCCTTCTTTCTTTGCGTGCACATTTGGGCGGCATTATGCTAATATTTCCACATATTGACGTAGATATGTGGGGGCGTGTTAGAACGAGCCGTTTTAGGTAGGCGTGGCTGACTCTGAACTTTTATAAAGAATATCTCTTTGGATTTGAGACTTAAGTCTTTGCAACTTTACAGATCTTCTTTATGCACCAAGAGCTTGTAACACTCCAAAGAGAAAGGAAAACTTGAAATCGCATCATATGACACCTTTAAGTTATATCTTCAGTTATATATTCACATTATTAACATTATTCTCTCTTTTTTTAAATTCTGTTTCCAGGTGCTGTGCATGATTACTGCTCCGGTGACCATGATCCTCTCCTCTCAGCAGGACGCTTCATTTGCATTTGCCTCTCTGGCCATAATCTTCTCTGTCTACATCACCCTCGTGGTGCTCTTTGTGCCCAAGGTACAAGCACTTCCCTGCTTCATATCACTTCCACATTCATGCTGGTTCGTCTTTATGCAGACACAGATTTCTCATTTTGTCTGATTTCGGTTCTTTCCCTTGGCACAGTTTCGTTTTTTGCATAAGTGTGTTAGGTTTACATTTTCGATCTCAACAAGAAAGTGTTTCCTCAGAACAGTAAAGTGATCTTTATCTTAGAGAACACTTTCTGTTTTAAACTTTTGATAGTTTTTGTTTTTACTCAGCACTGGCAGATGCTTGATTCTGATTGGTCAATCACAGTATTATGTGGTCAAATTTTCTTTATATGAATTTAGTTTTTATAATGCCTGTTGAACTATAAATATCATGTGAAACACATTTCTGCTAGTTTCTCTTGTAGCACTCTGTGGCAGTGTGAAGTGTTATATATTATATTTTGTATTCAATTATAAATAATAAATATTGAATATTGAATTAGCGTTTTTTTAATTTACAGTTTTCACTTTTAATTTTAGTTTATTTTGTGGTAATTTTATATATTGTTTTTCTTTTTAAATTTAGTTTATTTTTTAATAATTTAGTTATGTGCTTTTGTCATTTTTAATCTTTTTTTTTTTTTTTTAAAAATGGGTTTTACCCATTTGTCAGCATGAAGTTTTTAATCCATTTAAAATACAAAAAAAAATGGTATGGTCACATCTTTTATATATTTTTTATAAGTACAGGTTTTTTCAACACATTTTGACATTATTTTCACAAAAATGAATTGAAACATTAAAGTAGACACTTTACTTGCATTGAATATGCTTTCTTTGTATGTGAAATCACTGCAGTAAATTTAATTTTATGTAAATTTAATTTATATATATATATATATTATATATATATATATATATATATATAGC